TAGAATTTTATTTTCATCCTCAGTCATTTTTTGAACTTTAGCATTTAAAAACAAAACTCTTGAGAAGGTTTGTCATTTTTTTTTTTTTTGTAAAGATTTTTATAAAAATTTTCAAATTCAGTCAGAACTTCTTTTTGCTCTGTTTTGATTTCCCCATCACTACCATTTATTTCTGTGACATACTGGTTCGCGAGCTTCTGTTTTTCTAGTCCGAAAAAAAAAAAAAACATTTTTTTTATTTAAACATTTTTCGCCTTCCAATCTCTATTGAATTTTCGCTCTTATCGCCGCCCCTTCGGCTTTTTCTTATTCAATATGTTCAATTTTAATTTTTACATCATTATGCAATTTTTTCAAGTTGTTATTTAAAAGCATTTTTTTAGATGCATTTTTAAGAATTTTTAAAAGTTTATATTCTCTTTTGTTCTTTTTTTGTTTTTGTTTTTTGCTAAACTTTTTCGAAATTTCTTTTATTTTTTTTCCCGGCTTTCTACCAGTCTTTAATATTTTCAAAACTATTTTTTTGTTGTTCCCAATCGTTACAGCTCGCTTCTATAAGATATTTATACTCTTCATTTTCTAAATGTTTGTTGTTTAATATCCATGTTTCTGATTTAAAATTAATTTTTTTTATTTTTAGAATCGCTGCTTGTGCGTTAAAGTGATCAGTTAAAATAGTTGCCTCAAAAAATGTTCTAATATAGAAGCGGTCTAGTCTCGATTGAGACACACCGTTAGCGGCAGCAAAAGTATATTTATTTTTGTAGGGATTAAAAACTCTCCAAATATCTTCTATTTCTAACAGGTTTACTAAAGTTTTTAAATTTTTAATTGACGGACAGTCTTTTCTAAACATGGCGGGGTATCTGTCTTATTCTGATAGTGTTACGTTAAATCACCACCTATAACAATTTGAAAATCATTTTAATCTTTATTATTGAATTCATTAGTTAATTCATTAAAAAAAGTAATTCCTAATTTTTGAGAACTTCCGCCCCTGTAAGGTGCGTAAACGTTAATTATCAACAATTTCATACCATTTATTTTTAAAGCCACATAGTTAAAACGTCCTTTTGAGTCGTTAGCTAAGAAAATTGGTTTTTTACATTTTTGTTTTAATAAAAATGCAGTTCCTCGTATATGAATTGTTCGTGGTGAAAAATAAACGTCACCATCCCAATCGTTTTTCAACAAATTAATATTATCATTGTCTAAACGAGTTTCCTGAACCAGAAAAACATCATGTGGTCTATTTTTTAAATTATTGATAATAGTTTTGCGTTTGCTTCCGTTACTCAAACCGTTTACGTTTGAGGTGTAAAATTTAATTGCTGCATTTTTATTTTTATCATTATTATTATTTATTTTTTGATTTTTTATTAAAAAAATATTGCAATTTTTAACTTTTTCCACCTAAATTTTGCATCTATCCTAGATCAGGAAAAACCTTTTGAGGAAGAAACCCAACGACATATAAATAAAATTAGACATAAATAAGCAAAAGAGTAAAAAATATAAGAAACTAATTCATACCAACACCAAAATTCCCTTTGAAAAAGTCTTTTATTTATGTAGGCCATTTGGGTTTCTCGTCTCCTCTTTCTTTGGTAGATGGTTTTTCTTTAACTGACGTTTGTGGATGGATTCTTTTACGTTTGTTCACGTTTTCGCCCATCAAGATGTCCACATCCGAATCGAAGTCGCTCGCGCTTGAGATTTCACCGTTCTCCTTCTTTTTCCTATCTTTCCTACGTTGTTATTTCTTCTTTGCTTCGATAAATGGTGCTTCGTCGATTACTAGCGTTTCCACAGGATGAGTTGCTTCTTTTTGTTTTTCGATGTTCCTCGCTTCATCAAAAGCCAATTTATAGTGTTTTTGTGTGTTTATAAGTTTATTTTTTACTTCTGTTGGTAGCTGAAGGTCATGTTTGTCTAAAAAATTAAAAGTGGGTTTATTATTTTTTTTATAAAGAAACTTATTCACCTCACCTCTGAGAAATACGTTTGAAGTCAAAGAGGCAAGAACACTAAATTGAAAAGTTTCTTTTTTCTTTTCCATGTCAATTTTATGATTTTTTTCAGCAACCAGGTTTTTATCGATATTACTGATTTTTTTATCATTTGTATTTATTGTTTGTGTTTCCACATACTATACATAAAAAATTTTTCCCAGCAAAGTTTAGTAAGATTTTTGCTCCATTTATTTCAATATAATGTGGCAATTCCCTAACCATACAATTCAACATACAAAACGAAATAAACGTTGACCATCCTTAACTGTTTGGTCGAAGCTGTATGTAGTGTGTTGAATCGACAAGACGCTTTTAATATAGGGTGACAATTTTTCGATTAATTCATCATCATGAATTGTTGGATCGCATTTAATCGTGATTAAAAACCATATTGATCTCTTCTTCTAAAAATACAGGTAGCTTGCAGTTCTTTATTGCGACTTCGTTTCGATTCATTGCAATAGCATCATCAATTGAGTTGAAAACTGCAATTCATCGCCCATCGCGATGGTAAGACTAACTTTCAATTTTATTTCGTCCGACTTTCTCGTTGATTTTTTCAATAATTTCCTTCGCTCTATCGTTAACATAATGCTGATTATTTGAGTGTACAATGTCCATAAACACCTTAAACTCCACGACTCTTTCACTTACAGAAAAAACTTTTGAAGCTGCTTTTGCGTAAGACGCCATTTTGAATTTCAGAGGTAAGATAATACACGTCTGATTGCGACTAATAAGTCTCACTATTCACAAATTCAACGTAAAGTGTTTTTTGTGTTTTTTCCGTTAATAGAGTTCCAGTGCTCGTTTTGGTAAAATAATTATTACTTGTAGTGAATTTTAGCCGTCTTAATAATATTCAGATTGATATAACTATATGTTTAATAATTATCGTTTAGTGATGATAATTATTAAACATTTTATTATAACACTCTGAATATTGTTCAGAATGCTAAAACTCAACGCAAGCAATAAATAATTTGATAAACTAATTATTACTTGCAATGAGCTAAATTTCAAAATCTTTAAATTTAAACTTAAAAGGACTCATTCAGAATAATTTATTTGCAGACATGAAGTTTTGAGAAATCTTCAGTAAAAAATTTGTTTTTAATTTTAAATGCCTGATGTTGTTAGTAAGAAAATTTTAGTATGACATTTGTTACTGTTCCAACAAATAATTGTATTGATCACGTTTTACGAAAATGATGTTTTGGTAGTTCCAATTACGCTTATAGTAAAACTTTAAGTATTAGCATATTAGGAACTACCAAATTATCATTTTCGTTAACGTGATCAAAAAAATTACTCGTTGCAACAGTACCATGACATATGCTAAACTATTTTAAAATTTTAGTTACCTAAATAAATAAAACTTTAGGTTAGTTAAATATATAACATGTACAATCGTATATATCAATTTATTGACTTATAGTAGATATTTACAGTAGAAAATAATTTATTTTATGGCATAATTTACCCCTTACTTTGCAAAAACAATGCTTTTCTATCGTAAAGTAATTAGTAGTAAAAATTTAATTAATATAGATTATTTCATTAGAAGATATCATGAAAATGACTTTATTATGTTTTACAGAATGCTGTGAACGTTCCAATCCAGACAATGACCTATCAGCCATACCATTTAAAGTTTTAAAACAAGGCTTAGACAATGGCAATAATGTCTACCTGACATATAATGGAAATCGTATTTTCAGTGGAAATTATGAAGCTACTGTATAATGCTTATTCTATAATATTATCAGCATATTCTTATTCTTTTAGCCATAATTTTAATACTGCTAATCGTTGTTTTTCCTTTTTGTAATCATGCCACCGTCCAGACTTAAGAAAATGTAACAAACCAAAAAAGTTGAACTTGTTTGTCCGCTTCAAAATGGCGTTTGTCAACAAAATTCTGCCTGTGTGCTGTCACCTGTCAGCTAATTGCTCATGTCATCAGGGCCGGTGCACCCTATAGGCGAACTAGGCAATCGCCTAGGGCGCCAAAGTTTAGGGGCGCCTAAAAGTTGATAAGTTTTTTTATATGCTAACAAAAAACAACGCTTTTGCTCATTGAGCAATATGTACGTACATTTTACCGAACGCAATCTAAATCATAACAAATATGGCGGCGTCTTTACAATCAAAGTGATTTTCATAACAACTTTCAATAGTTAGTCGACTATATTCTTTATATAATTTATACTGACAATATATATATATATACATATAGATGAATAGTGACATTCTATATACTATTATACATTTATATTAGGTTTTAGACACTTATTAAGAAAAGTAAAATATTTTTTATATGAATATATAATAACTAGCTTAAATCTAGGGCTATTATATATTACGTATTATATTATTATTATACTTCACCAAACGTATAACTTTGCTATACAAAATAAAATTTGAATTATTTAAACACAATGCATCTAGCAGGTTAAATTTTTTGTTGAGTCGCTTCTACAATATGTCTTGATCTGCACCAGCTAATTACACATTGAAATCTCATTCATATAGCTAACTTCCATTTCCGTTTAAAAAAACACAAAAAATACTAGCAGGACGTATAACTTTGCCAAGTTGTTTTTTGTATAATACAGTTAAATGATAACCTGTTAAAACCGTACAGAGCTGTTCAGACCTGTTGGAAACTTTAGCTAGCTATATATAATTTATTCTTGAAGCCAATCACAGAAAACCTATTAATGTATTAGTTAAACATCGCAACATTAATTTATTTTATTATTTTCTTGTTACATTTCAGATATGGCTGAGAGAAAGAAGCCTTCAGGAGCTCAATATCGTAAACGAAAAGTTGAACAGCAGAGGGAACAAGAAAAACAGAAGGGTTCATTGCTAAAGTTTATATTCCGAAAAGACTCTACTAAAGAGGATAGTAATGGTGGACAGATTCCCACTGATATGGAAGCTGAAGAAATATCTAATGTTGTTGCTAATGATAATGTGATGATGAGTGAAACACTTTCTTACTCAACAGTTTCCGTTTCCAATGCAGATAATGGCCAATTGAATTATTCTCTCGAGGAACATGTACAGCAAGCAAGTGAAGAAAAAACGGATAATGTTATTCCACAGGATCCAGCACTTTGGCCTCTACTAATTAGTCATAATACACGTGCAATCATTGTAGAACGTGGACCTCAGCAAATAAAAGATATCAGTTTCCCAAATGATAAGAATAATCGAAAGTTTTCAGTATTTCACTACTTAAGAAAACTTCCTAATGGAGAAGAATTATGTCGCAGCTGGCTCTTGTATTCAGTATTAAAAGACTCAGTGTTTTGTTTCTGTTGCAAACTGTTCAGTATGAAAGCAATTGGCATATCATCACTAACTCATACAGGTTCAAGTGACTGGAAAAACATGGCGGCAATTCTTTCTTCCCACGAGAAAAGTCCTGAACATTTGCAGAACTCAAATCAAAAGTGGAAAGAACTACATCAGCGATTACAGAGGGATAGTACAATAGATGCAGAAATTTTGCGCAAGATGAAGAATGAAGAAAAGTATTGGCAGCAAATACTAAAGCGTTTAATAGCATTAGTGAGAGTTTTGGGTGAACAGAATCTAGCTTTTCGCGGTACAAATGAAACATTGTACAGTGCCAATAACGGGAATTTTTTAAAATTTGCGCAATACTTAGCCATTTTTGATTCATTAATGAACGAACATCTACGAAAGATATTAAATAAAGAGCTTCATACACATTATCTTGGCAAAGATATACAAAATGAACTTATTCAACTGTTAGGAAATGCTATTAAGAAAGAAATCATACAAACAGCAAATGCAATGAAATATTTTTCAATAGTTCTCGATGGTACTCCTGACTGTAGCCATGTTGAGCAAATGACAATAATTATTCGTTTTGTTAAAGTTGATTCATTGAAAAAGGAGTTTAGTATCAAAGAACATTTTTTAGGCTTTGTACCTTTAAAGAAAACAACTGGAGCCTATATGGCAGAAACGATAATACAACAACTAGAAGAAATGGAGTTACCTATTGATAATTTACGTGGCCAAGGCTACGATAATGGCGCAAATATGATAGGCAAAAATAATGGTGTTCAAAAGAAAATATTAAACATTAATCCTCGAGCATTGTTTGTTCCTTGCAGCGCGCATACTCTTAATTTGGTTGTCAATGATGCTGCAAATTGTTGTCTAATGGCTACAAGTTTTTTTGATATTGTCCAACGTGTGTATGTATATTTTTCGTCTTTAACACATCGGTGGGTAGTTTTCACTAGTCATCAACCTACGTTAACTGTTAAACCTCTAAGTGAAACAAGATGGGAAAGCAGAATAGATGCTATAAAGCCTTTGCGATATGAACTTGGTAACATATATGATGCACTGCTAGAAATAGCTGATGATACTTCTCTAACTGGATCCTCAGGAAGCACTGCACGCAGTGATGCTAAAGCACTTGCGAATAGTGTTGCAAAGTTTAAGTTCGTGGTTTCAATTGTTGTATGGTACAACATACTTTTTGAAATCAATATAACAAGTAAGCAGCTCCAAGCTAAAGATTTGGATATTCATGCTGCTGTACAACAGTTACAACACACACAAGCCTATTTGGTTGACTGTAGGAGTGACATAGGTTTTGCAAGAATGCTAGTGGATGCTGCTGAAATTGCTAAGGATTTGGAGATACTACCAACCTTTGAGGCAGAACCATGATTACGGCAGAGAAAAAAGCAATTTGCATATGAAGCTGAAGATGAGCCTGTGCAAGATCCAAAACAAAATTTCAAAGTGAATTTTTTCTTTGCTATACTTGACACAGCAATAAGGTCGGTTAAAGAAAGGTTTGAACAAATGAGAACAATTGAATCTGTATTTGGTTTTTTATATCATATTCATGGTCTACAGAGTAAAACTTCACAAGAAATATTGGAATGTTGCATGAAACTAGAATCTGCTTTACAACATGGTGATAACAGAGATTTAGTTGCATCAGCTTTGTGTGGCGAACTACAGTCTATTGCACGACGACTTTCTGAAGAAACAAAGTCTCCTCAAGATGTTTTTCGATTTATTCTTTGCCAAAACTTGGAAGACAGTCTACCCAACCTTTGTATTGCTCTTCGTATTTTGCTGACATTACCTGTTTTTGTCGCTAGTGGAGAGCGTAGTTTTTCCAAACTAAAATTGATAAAGACATACATTCGATCATCCATGTGCAAAGACACATTGGTTGGGTTGGCAACTCTTTCCATTGAGCACGAACTTGCAGACAAGCTGGACCTGAAAGACCTTGTGATCGATTTTGCCCAGAAAAAGCCACGCAAAGTACAGTTTTGATATTTTTAAATAAATAAATACTTACCTGGTGTTTTCACTTTGCACACATATATATATATATATATATATATATATATATATATATATATATATATATATATATATATATATATATATATATATATATATATATATATATATATATATATATATATATACATATATACATAAATATATATATATATATATATATATATATATATATATATATATATATATATATATATATATATATATATATATATATATATATATATATATATATATATATATATATATATATATATATATATATATATATATATATATATATATATATATATATATATATATGTATATATATATATATATGTATATATATATATATATATATATATATATATATATATATATATATATATATATATATATATATATATATATATATATATATATATATTTACATATATATATATATATTTACATATATATATGTATATATATATATATATATATATATATATATATATATATATATATATATATATGTATATGTATGTATACATATATATATATATATATATATATATATATGTATGTATACGTATATATATATATATATATATATATATATATATATACATATATATATATATATATATATATATATATATATATATATTTACATATATATATATATATATATATATATATATATATATATATATATATATATATATATATATATATATATATATATATATATATATATATATATATATATATATATATATACATTTAAGTATAAATATATATGTATGTATGTATATAAATATATAATTATATATATATTTATATTTATATAAAACAAATGCCCGCTGGGTATACCTATAAAATATAGAATCATATAAACACATACACATACATACATACACAAATAATTATAATAATAATTTTAATAACTGTAACGAAATATTGTGTTGATTGCCTTATTTTATGGAAGAGAATAAAACTTGTTTTGACACAATTTTATGATAATTTATTAGGCATAAACCATCCCAGTAAAAACAGGACGTTTTTAAAACGTTTTAATTCCGTTCAATTTACGGTCAGACGTTTAAAGAACCAATACAAATGTTTTTTAAACGTTTTTTTGTAAACGTTTTTTTTACTGTTAATTTAAACGTTTTTTCAGCGTTTTTTAAGCGTTTTTTTTTTAACAACTTACGAAATTTCTCAGTTAGCTTATGAACGTTTTTAAAACGTTTTTTTAACATAATAAATAAAATGTACACGACAATATTTAAAAAAGTAAGTATGTTTACGCAAATAATGGCGTTCGATTAAGCGAAGTGATTTATTTAAGTAAAAATTATATAAATTAACATATCTTTAAATCAACCAAGTGTTTGTATTATTTTCTTGGAGAATTAAATTTAAAAATATATTGGAGTATTTTTATATGTCTTCGTTGAAACTAGGTTGTGTTTGTATTTCTACTTGAGTCAAGTAGATATGATTAAAATGATAAAGTTTTTATGGTGTGGTTATTTAGATTAAATAGCTTAATTGCTGAGTAAACTTGATTGCTAAAGAAACTAAATTAAGTTTTTAATTCTACTTGATTATCAACTGCTTTTAATGCAAAAAAATTCATTTGGATTTGAGAAAAGGAAACAACATTTTCAGAGTTTTTCTTCTTTAACTCTAAAAATAAAATTTAATAATATCAGTGGTTTTTATTAAGGAATTACTATAGTTAAAAAGGCTGAAAAAAAAATATGATGATTAGTTTCAAGAAAGTAAGTGATTTAGTTCAAAATTTCATTTTAAGATTTTTAATCTTTAATAATATTCTGGTGTTATTACCAAATATTTGGCAGTATGAAACCTATAATATTATATACAATACTATATACCCTACTTTACTTATAAAATTAATAATCTATAAAGTAATTTGTAAAAGATTTTTAATATTTTAAAATTTCTACATGAGAAAACAGGTTTTTAGATGAAGTTGAAATATTCTCTATGCTTGTGTTCTGTAAGTCAAATAAAAAAATAAAGATGATATTGATTGTGATGACCAAGAGATTCATTTTAAGACACATCAATCTTCATCATCTTAAAATAAAAAGGATAAATATGATAGATTTCCATTATCTCAAGCAAGTAAGTCTTTAGTTAAAAATAATAATGTAATGTTTGTTGTAAAATACTAACACGACTGTCAATATTAAAAGATATCATTGAAAAGATGAGTTTCCAATTTTAACTTTAAATAATCACCTGGATGAAATCCATTATTTCAATATTATCAAAATTATAAATCTATGGAACAATCTTTCTTCTCTAACCCTGAAAAAAACTGTAATATATAGTAAAATATTTATTGTGGTTATACCAAAAATTAGCATTGCCACAATCAAGTATTTTACTGTCTATTAGTTTTTAACTGATTTAGGGTTAGATCAGGAAAGTTGTTAAATTATTAAATTTATGTATTTTAAATTTATTTATATATGTAGTTTTGTTAATACTATGTAAAATTTAATTATTGTAAGTTTGTTTAGACTTTTAATATTGTGTTTTGTGTCTTCTAAATGAGATAAAAACCCAAGGATCCAAAATACCTAATATAAAATAGTATGAGCAAGAAG